GGCTTAAGATAAGGGGTTGTCGTGGGAAAGGGGGAAGGACCGACCCCTGCTGATCTGGTGACATTGTGTTGTTCCCCAGCCGTACTCCAATTATGCTGTTGACTTCAACAACAACTGTTAAACCATTTGTCGGCATCGTCGTAAGTTTATTGTTCTTTACCCCTTTCCTCCCTCTCGCTTTCTGCTCCCTTCCTCGCACCCCCTATACTTTTTCCCGTTCAGGTACATGACCAGCTCCAACGCCGTACGCAATCACATGCTCAAACTCATCCCGCACATCGCCGACGGCTCCTGGATGATCAAACAGTCGGTGGGCACCACCCCGGTCATATTGGGGAAACAGCTCAAGACGACCTACTACGAGACGCCGCAGGTCTGTGAGGTGTATTATTATTAGCATTATTGTTGTAATTATATGTATTATATTATAATTGTTGTGATTATATTGTTTTTATTTTTAATTTTTAGCCTTTTTTTAGCGATTTTCAGTATCTCATTTTTTTGTTTGTTAGGGGTGATGGCGTGGTTATGTATACATATGCATGTGTATACGTGGGGGCATGGTAACCCCATTTCTCACCCCTGTGGACGTTGGCAGTAATTAGCTCTTCGCTTCTTGCATTATCATGTGATTTGTCCCTACTGCAGTACATTGAGATTGACATCGACATCTCAGCTAACAATGTGGCATCGTACGTTACGGGCCTGGTTCGCGGCGCCACGCGATCGCTGGTGATTGATATGGGCTTCGTGCTGGAGGGTGAGTTTTTTGTGGGTTTCGGAGCGTGTTTATCATAGTATTGAAATACCGGGGGCCGCCCAGATTTTTTTCACACACAACTCTCTCTCTCTGTCTCTCTGGGTCTGGGTCTGGGTTTGGGTCTGGGTTTGGGTCTCTCACACACAGACAGACATATATACACATTACATTACACACACGCACACCTCGGCTGGTGTCCGGCTGACAATTTTGAGTCGATGCAAGGTACAGTCAGAGCGTACTGCACAGCGGTGATGCAGATTATTTTAATGCATATGCTTATGCGTACATACATACATACATACTTACTTACTTACTTACTTACTTACTTACTTACTTACTTACTTACTTACTTACTTACTTACTTACTTACTTACTTACTTACGTACGTACGTACGTACGTACGTACGTACGTACGTACGTACGTACGTACTTCCACACACACAGGTACTACCCCTTGGGAGCTCCCGGAGGCGCTGCTGGGCACCCTTCGGCTGTACAATCTAGATATCCGTACCGCCAAGCTGATTGATGTACGGCAGGAAATTCCTCTGCGGCCCCCCAACATGGCGCCGCCGCCGCCGCTGCGGGGCCACCCGTACACAACCTCCGTACCCTCCTCTTCCAGCATTGGCGGCGGCGGCGACGGCGCTGCTGCTGTTGCTTCCGCCGCCACCGCGGCCGTCACCGCCGGCCCGTGCAGCCCCAGTGCCCCTCGTCGTGCGTCTCCGACGTCCTCCGTGTCGATGTCGATATCGAGGACGAGTGCCAACGGCGGTGCTGACATCGCTACGGGTACGACTACGGGGCCGCGGCAGTCAAGTTTCACTGGGAAGCTTTCAGGCATCGGCGGCAGCGTTAGCATCGGCGGTAGCGGCGGTTCGAAGGGCCGATCCGGCAATGTCCTCCCCACAGCTGAAAGCACGGTGGGTTGGGTGTTGTGTTGTTATATGTTGTTGCCGGAGTGCCGATGTGATGAACCGGGTCAGAGGGGGGTTTGCTGGGCGAAGTGCGAGGTTTTAAAACCCTCCCCCTCCCCTTCCCCCTCCACCACGAGGTTATAAACCCTCCCTACCCCAAAAGCGTACACACATATCGACACACATTGACTCACAACAACAAACACCAACTTCATTTTTCGCTTCCCGGTTTGTTGGCCTCCACAGCCCGCTACCTCCTTAGCGTCGGACAGCCTGCCCCACGGCGGCGACGGCCCCGTCGGCCCCGTCACAGCTCGCTCCGCCAGCGCGCGGCACACGCCGCAGCCCTCACGCAGCTTCGCAGGTGCCGCCAGCACCGGCGGCGGCGGCGGCACCGCCGCCGCCACCACCGGCGGCATCGCTGACGTCACCACCCCACCGCGTTTCTGAGGGTTGCGAAGATAGTAATAATAATATTATTATTATTATTAATGTCTTTTTTGGGAGCAGGATGTCAAGGAAGAGGGAGGAGCCGGAGGGGAGGAGGATGGGGAGGGAGCCAGAGGTTGATGACGATGATGAGCGGGGCCGTCTCTTCTGGGGGGGGAGGATGGGCAACAATTCTCTGACATTTCCGATGAGGGGCTGACGGCGGGAGAAACGGGATTGGAATGGGATCTGAAGGGGCGAGTGGGAGTGGAGCGTGGAGCGTGGCCTCGTTGGTGGCGGCCATTGAATGTGACGTGGCGGCAGTACGTACGGCGTACGTCAAGCCATCCTGTGAGGAGAGAAGGGCAACAGCCGTAGGAGGAGAGCGGCAGTAGCAGGAAGGAGAAGAATAGGGGGGAGGGAGGGCGGAGCGGGCGCATGGTGAGGGCGATGGTCATCCGGATAAACACTTTTAGTCGCAGGGAGCGGTGGCGACGGCGCGGTGGATAGGGTGCGGAAATCGGGTTGGATGCGTATGTGTGTATGTCTGTGTTGTGTGTCAATGTACGGGTCAGTGTCGCACATGGGTTGAAAATGATGTCCAGGGGGGGGGGCCCTATGAGTACAGCGGAAATCTCAGGTCCCGGGGAATGGGGGGATACGGTCTCCCCCCCCTTCCACACACACACAGCCTGCGCCCACCATCCGTCCCTGTCCACGGCTTTATGTTTTATTGCTTATATGCATGTATGTACGTATGTACATGCGCCCAGCGGCCTGCGCGAAACGAGCACTATGACCGC